ACGGCGGGTGCCGCGCGGGCGCGGTGGGCGGCGCCGTGCGGGGCGGTGGGCGGGGCCGCGCGGGGCGGTGGGCGGGGCGGTGCCGTGGGCGGTGCCGTGGGCGGGGCGGTGCCGCGCGGGGCGGTGGGCGGGGCGCGACCGGGGTTCAGCGGGGCGGGGCCTCGCCGTGGGCTGGGGGCGCTCACTAGCGCCGGGGCGCCGGCGTCCTTGCAGGTGAACAGCTTGAGGCAGAGCCGCACGAAGTAGGCGGGGCTTCCCGAGGCCCGGGGCACCTGCACCAGAACCGCCTTGCGCCTCCGGTCCACCCGGTAGCTGAGCCGCCCGGCTGCAGGAGGGCGGCAAGTCGGGGTCGTGCTCGGACCTGCGGTCACCGACGCGAGGCTCTGTCTGCCCCGAGAGCCCCGACGTGACGGCTCCCGCTTGGTTCAGGCGTTTGGGAGTCGCCCACCTGAGGACCCTTTAGGATTTCCCAAGTGGGCAGAAGACCCCAGGGAGAGGAAGCCTGTCGCAGCGTCCGGGCGTCTTCCCAAGGGCGTCGAAGGGGGGAACTCACCGAGGCAGTCGGGCACGCTCCTCCCCACGTCCTCCTCTCCGCAGCCTGCAAACCCAGAGGCAATGGCGGGGTGCGGGCTGCTCTGCTCTCACCGCACCCCCCCCCGCCCCGCCCCGTGCCTCTGCAATGCGACCTCGACCTCGAATTAAGCCAAAGGCCTTGCAGGCATCTGCCCAGCATGAGGTCCAGGCCCCTGCCCTGGGCAAGTCCCACCCCAGACCAGGCCCTGGGGGGTGAACGCAGCTATGCCCAGGGAGGCCCTGGGGATTCTACCTTCCACGAGGTGCCTCTGGTCCAGCTGGACCCCGCAGAAATGAGGGATGGTTCTCAGGGTGACATAGAGGTGCTGGGCCACGCTCACCTCAAAGCAGCCAAAATGCACCTGGAGCTGAGCAGGTGCAGGTGTGAGCTTCGTGGACCCACTGGCACTGCCCACCCAACCCAGCCAGTTCCACTTGCATGGCTCGAGCCCAGGGCAAGGGATGGCACCCAGAAGGAGGGGCACCCAGTCTTTGGGACTTGGGTGGCAGAGCCCCAGGATGGACTGCCACATCAGAGCCTGGCCCTTGCCTCACCTGCTGCCCCACCTGCTGCTGGTGGGAGGCCCTGGCCACCCACACGCTCTGACACTGCGTCTCCTGGGTGTCCAGGCTTGTGGTGCAGGCCTCCAGGCCCCGCAGGCGCTCTGGATGGAGGCGGGGCCCATGGGGTGTGTCAAAGCAGGTCACCCCGGCTCTGGATGGGGCGTGGGACCCCGTTCCTCCACCTTCTCTCTGTGAAGTGCTGTGAGCAATGCCCCCTCCCCCACCAGGCCACCCAGGGTTTGATGGGAATAAAAGGCACCTGGGCCCACTGCTTGACCTCCAGGTGTCACTCCCACCCTCGAGGCCGCCTCTCACCGTGCAGGGTGATGGAGGCGCATACACGCAGGAGCAGTGAGCAGCCGTTAGGGGTGATGCACTGCATGGCAGTGGAGGGGGTCAGGGTCTCCAGGACAGACATGGACATGGACACGGGGCGTGGCTGGCAGAAGCTGTTAAAAATGTTCCCTGGGGAGGGAGAAGGAGCATGAGGCCTCGAGTTCCCGGTGCTTGGAAAGACTTTGTGGGTGGTTCCATGAAGGGGGAGAGCCTGGGGGCTGCAAAGTCTTCTGCTAGGGGGTCTTTACTCTCTCACCCCAAGCCAACTGGGGAGCCAGCCCCCTGGCATGTGGGGAGCCCACCTGAGACACTCTGAAGTGTCGGTGGTACCCAGGGTGGGCTGGGGTCAGGAGAGCAGACTGCACACCAGTCTGCATCAGAGCGGCGAAAGCTGCGGCTGCACCTGGCAGCAAGGGGGCATGGGGCCCACCCTTTCCTGCTGGCAAGCTCTGCTCAGAGATGAACAGCAGAAAAGGCCAACGCAGCTTTGCTGGGACATCGGGGCGTGACTCCAAGGTTGCTGCAGCCCAGGCCTCCATCCCAGGGAGGTAGCTGCATCGTCACAGGCAGGACTTGCCCCCAGGGCCTTTGGCTTTGAGACCCAACGCCATTGCCGGCAGTCTCACCAGACCTGGGCAGGGTGGAGCTGGGGTATCATTTTGGGCACTGGGGGCTGAGCAATTTTGCTGCCTTTACTCAGCCAGGTTTGCAGGTAGGACTCAGCAGAACTTCACGTGAGCCACGGAGCCTGGCAATCCGGCCATTCCACAGGAGGACTGCCACCTTCTTTACAGAAGGCATGGCCATGGAGGCATGGGACCCACATGCTGTGGGTGAGACAGTGCAGCTGCTGCTCAGTGGAGCCCACACGGAACGCAGCACGCTGCTGAGGCAGGAGAGTAAGGAATGAGGGTAGCCAGGGACTAAGGGAGAAGCAAAAGCGCGGCAGGTGCAGCCAGTCCCAGCCTCCCTCCTGTGATGATGAGACACTCCACTTCAGCCTTTGGTGGGTTGCAGGCCAGTTCTCCATAGAGTGTAACCCACTGGAGGGTTCTAACCACAAGCAACCGTTTCAAGACAGTGGACGTGAGGAAATGAAACACGGTGAGTCCTGGGAGACGGGGAACATCCAGGGAGCTCTGCGAATGCCCCACCATCTTGGGGGTGTTCCCAGGCAGTGGTGGGGGTGGCGTCCCATGTGGAGCTTGGCACACTCCCTGAGCTGAGGAGCTGGATGGAGCGCCCTGGCAGTGGGGGCTTCCTGACCGAGTATGAGAGGGGGGAGGATAATGCAGAGAGAAAACTCTGGGGAATATTCACTTTGCGGATACTCGGAGTATTCATGAACACATGCGTGTGAGGGAACCACCAGAAGCGGAGAAAGAACCGCCCAGAAAAATTTGAGGGAGTGGGCCAGGCGCGGTGACTCAGGCCTATAATCCCAGCACTTTGGGAGGCTGAGGCGGGAAGATCAACTGAGACCAGGAGTTCAAGACCAGCCTGGCCAACACAGTGAAATCCTGTCTCTACTAAAAATACAAAAATTAGTTGGTGTGGTGGTGGGTGCCTGTAATCCCAGCTACTCAGGCGGCTGAGGCAGGAGAATCACTTGAACCCAGGAGGTGGAGGTTGCAGTGAGCATAGATCACTTCATTGCACTCCAGCCTGGGCAACAGAGCGAGCCTCCAAAAAAAAAAAAAAAAAAAAAAAAAAGCCAGGTGCGGTGGCTCATGCCTATAATCCCAGCACTTTGGGAGGCTGAGGCAGGCAGATCACAAGGTCAAGAGACCAAGACCAGTCTGGTCAACATGGTGAAGCCACGTCTCTACAAAGAATACAAAAATTAGCTGGGCGTGGTGGCACATGCCTGTAGTCTCAGCTACTTGGGAGGCTGAGGCAGGAGAATCGCTTGAATCCGGGAGGCAGAGGCTGCAGTGAGCTGAGATCACGCCACTGCACTCCAGCCTGGTGACAGTGTGATTCCGTCTCAAAAAAAATTTAAAGAATTTGAAGGAGCGTATCTTGGACTCACACAGGCTTGGGACTAGCCCCTGTTTGCAGCCAGACTGAGAACCTCATGACTCAAAGGGCACTGGGTACAGCACATAGAAGAGTCTGTCTCATTAGAAGGGGAGAATTAATCTTAGACTGAGCATTGCTCTGGTCCTTTCTAACAAATCGAAAAAGTAAAACCAATAAGACTAAGTTGTCTCCAAGAAACTTAACTGTCTGCCAGGAAAAGGCTCAAGAATATTTGTGGGAATAAAGAAAATGTTGTTTTTTCTCCCAGCACACAACAGGGTAAAATTCACAATGTCTGACATCCAGTAAAAAATTACAAGCCATGCAAAGAATCAGGGAAAAAAACCCTAATTTGGAGAAAAATCAATTAAAATGAACACAAGTTTGTTTTTTTGAGACAGGGACTCACTTTTGTCACTCAGGCTAGAGTATGTAATCTCGGGTCACTGCAACCTCTGCCTCCAGAGCTCAAGTCATTCTCCCTCCACAGGTGTGCAGCACCACACCCAGCTAATGTTAGTATTTTTTGTAGAGACCAAGATTTCACCATGTTGTCCAGGCTGCTCTCGAATGCCTGGGCTCAAGGGATCTACCTACCTCGACCTCCCAAAGACCCGGGATTGCAGGTGTGAGCTATAGCATCTGGCCAAAGGGATCTACCCACCTCGACCTCCCAAAGACCCGGGATTACAGGTGTGAGCTATTGCATCTGGCCAAAACTAACACAATATTGACACGCAGAATTAGTAGACAAGAGGCCAGGCACGGTGGCTCATGCCTGTAATCCCAGTAGTTTAGGAGGCGAAAGCAGGCAGATCACTTGAGGTCAGGAGTTTGAGACCAGCCTGGCCAACATGGTGAAACTCCATTTCTACCAAAAATATAAAAATTAGCTGGGCATGGTGGTGCCTGCCTGTAATCCCAGCTACTCAGGAGGCTGAGGCAGGAGACTTGCTTGAACCCAGGAGGCGGAGGTTGCAGTGAGCCAAAATCATGCCACTGCACTCCAGTCTGGGTGACAGAAGGAGACTCTGGCTCAAAAAAAAAAAAGACAGGAACATTAATACAATTATTACTGTATTCCATACATTCAAAAGTTAATTATAGACATAGGATACATATTTAAAAAAAAAAAAACAAAACAAAAAAACAAATCCAACTTCTAGAACTGAAAACCACAATGTCTGATTGAAAAATACATCAGATAGTATTAACAGCGGATTAGACACTGCAGAGGTGGGGGTGGGGGGAGAGGGAGAGGTGCTGGGGGACACAGCAATAGAAACTCTCCAAAAAGAAGCAGAGCAATGATGGTGATGATGATGAGCAAAGCATCAGTGGCCTGTAGGACAACCACAAGTGACCTCATATGTATAATTGGAGTCCCTGAAGGAAAGGAAGAAATTTTAAAAACTCAGGTTTGCACAGTGGCAGTATCGTAGCCAGTGAGGTTTATCCAAGGCGCGATTATTGCTAATTGAAAACTTTTCCCAATACCCTGCCACGATGACTTGAAATATAGTTGGCATTGGCAATTTTTGACAGTCTCTATGGAAACCGAATAAAAAAAAATTTAAACTCAAAAAAAAAGATGGAAAATTTCCAAACTTGATGAAACTATGGGAGTCACAGATCCAAGAAAATCAATGAGTGCTAAATATAAGAAACATGAAGAAAATGACACCAAGGCGTATTATAATCAACTTGCTTAAAAACCAGTGATAAAGAGAAAATTCTATACTATGTAAAAAACACCTTTCCAAATTAAGAGTAAAGGTTTCTTTTGCAGACAAAAGCTGGAAGAATTTTCACCAGAAGACCCACATATCAAAGGATGTTAAAGAAAGTCCTTATAGCAGGAGGGAAAATAGTAACAGATGAAAAGGGCGCCAAAGGAATAAAGATATCCTAAATGTAACTGGTGCTTATGTGAGATAGTTTGGCTGGGCTCAAGGGCTTACGCCTGTAATTCCAGCACTTCAGGAGGCCGAGGTGGGCGGATCACAAGGTTGGGAGTTCGAGACCAGCCTGGCCAACACGGTGAAACCCAGTCTCTACTAAAAATACAAAAAGTAGCTGGGCATGGTGGCAGGCGCCTGTAATCCCAGCTACTGGGGAGGCTGAGGCAGGAGAATGACTTGAACCTGGAGGCGGAGGTTGCTGTGAGCCATGATCACGCCACTGCACTCCAGCCTGGGTGACAGAGCGAGACTATGTCTCAAAACAAAACAAAAACACGGCGTCGTTCCTTCAGCCACATATATGCAAATCTATAAGAAAGGTGATACTGTAGACATGAAGGGAACTGTTTGTAAAGGAAGCCCACAGGTGTTCCCACGGCAAAGCTGGAAGAGTTGACGGTTTCCCCAGCCTGCCGCCGGCATTGTTGAAAATGAACAAGTCAAGGGCAAGATTCTTGCCAAGAGAATCAATGTGCACATCGAGCATGTTAGGCACCCTAAGAGCCGAGACTGCTCCCTGAAACGTGAAGGAAAATGATGAAAAAAGGAAGCCAAAGAGAAAGGCTCTGGTTCAGCTGAAGTGCCAGCCCCAGCCCGCTCCGCCCAGAGAAGCACACTGTGAGAACCGGTGGGAAGGAGCCTGAGCTGCTGATTATGAATTCACAGCATAGTAGGTGCTAAAAAAATAAGACCTCTGGACTACAAAAAAAGAAAAAGACAACATATAAAAACCTCTTAGATGCTTCTAAAGCAGCATTTTGGGGGAAATTCACATCAACTCCTAACCTAGAAAAGAAGAAAGATCTCAAGTCAGCGACTTTAGCTTCCACCTGAAGGAACTAGAGAAAGAAGAAATGACACCCAAAGCGAAAAGAAGAATAAAATCAGAGTGGAAACCTAGGCAGTGGAAAGCAGAAGAGCAGTAAAGAAAATAATGAAACCAAATACTTAAGGAAGAAAGAATACCGGTTTTACTGATGCTTCCAGGAAGCGGACGATGAAGGAATCCTTCAGAACTCACTCTCTGGCACCAAAACCGGACACAGACATTACAAGAAGAGGCAACTGCAGGGCGACAAAGACTCTAAACAAAATGTTAGGAGGTGACCCCACGGGCAGAGGGAAAGATGATGTCTGTGGTGGGTTGTCCCACACGTGCAAGGCTGGCTTCACATGAGAAAATCAACCACTGTAACCCACCGTGTCCACAATTTTTTTTTTTTTTTTGAGATAGAATTTTACTCTGTCGCCCAGGCCGGAGTGCAATGATGTGATGTTGGTATACCGAGACCTCCACCTCCCGGGTTCAAGAGATTCTCCTGCCTCAGCCTCCTGAGTAGCTGGGATTACAGGTTTGAGTCTGGCTAATTTTGTGCTTTTAGTAGAGATGGGGTTTCACCATGTTGGCCAGGCTGGTCTGGAACTCCTGACCTCAGGTGATCCGCCCACCTCGGCCTCCCAAAGTGCTGGGATTACAGGCGTGAGCCACCAGGCCCAGCTGACAAAATTTTTAAAAACCGCTATGATCATCTCAATAGTCACAGAAAGATTTTTGACAAAATTCGTCATCCATTCCTGATTAAAAAAAGAAAGCAAACAGGGAATGAAATTTCCTCAAATTGTTAAAGATGATCAATGTGTGATACAGGTGAAAAACCTATGTCTAACATCACATTTCACAGTGAAAGAATAGATTATTTCCCCCAGATCAAAAACAAAAAAATCCCTGCTCTTCTCAATCCCACTCAATACCGCAGTGGGGGACCCTACTCCACAAAATGAGGCAGGAAAAGAAATTGGCTTCCACTTGGAAGAAGTGAAGTGTGTTCCTTTGCCAATGACATGATTGTCTCTGCAGAAAACGTTAGTGTCTACAAAAAAGGCACTAAAACTAATAAGTTTAGCAAAATTGCAGGATACAAGATCAATATATAAAAAATCCAGTCCGGGTGTGGTGGCTCACGCCTGTAATCCTAGCGCTTTGGGAGGCTGAGGCAGGCGGATCACAAGGTCAAGAGATCAAGACCATCCTGGCCAACTTGGTGAAACCCCGTCTCCCCTGAAAATACAAAAAAATTAGCTGGACGTGGTGGCGCGCACCTGTAGTCCCAGCTACTCGGGAGGCTGAGGAAGGAGAATCACGTGAACCCGGTGGGCAGATGTTGCGGTGAGCTGAGATTGTGCCACTGCACCCCAGCCTGGCAACAGAGCAAGACTCTGCTTCAAAACAAAAATTCACTGTATTTCTTTTTTGTTGGTTGGTTTGTTTTGATTTTGGTGGTTTTTTCTTTTTTTCTTTTCTTTTTTTTTTTTGAGACGGAGTTTCGCTCTTGTTACCCAGGCTGGAGTGCAATGGCGCGATCTCGGCTCACCGCAACCTCCGCCTCCCGGGTTCAGGCAATTCTCCTGCCTCAGCCTCCTGAGTAGCTGGGATTACAGGCACGCGCCACCATGCCCAGCTAATTTTTTTTTTTGTATTTTTAGTAGAGACGGGGTTTCACCATGTTGACCAGGATGGTCTCGATCTCTTGACCTCGTGATCCACCCGCCTTGGCCTCCCAAAGTGCTGGGATTACAGGCTTGAGCCACCGTGCCCGGCCTCTTTTTTTTTTTTAGATGGAGTCTTGCTGTCACCCAGGCTGGAGTGCAGTGGTGCGATCTCAGCTCACAGCAACCTCTGCTTCCTGGGTTCAAGCAATTCTCTTGACTCAGCCTCCAGAATAGCTGGAATTACAGAACCTGCCACCATGCCCGGCTAATTTTTTGTATTTTTAGTAGAGACGGGGTTTCCCCATGTTGGCCAGACTGGTCTTGAACTCCTGACCTCAAGTGATCCACCCACCTCAGCCTCCCAAACCCTGTATTTCTATATACTAGCAAAGAATAACTACAGATTGAAAATTTAAAAATAAAGGAAGCCTGATGGTTTGGGGATAAGAAGCTGGGTCATGCTGGGGAGCGGGGAGCTGTGGCCCCAAGGCTGGTGTTTCCTTCCCTTGGAGAGTCATACCTGGGGCTTGGTGGGCAGCAATCTTCAGAGGAATGACTGTGCCTTAGAATTCAGTGTCTGTGTTGTCATCCATATGTATGAGGCCAAGAAGACGAAAACCTCCCCTGTAATCCCAGCACTTTGAGAGGCCGAGGCGGATGGATCACCAGAGGTCAGGGGTTTGAGACCAGCCTGGCCAACATGGGGAAACCCTGTCTCTACTAAAAATACAAAAATTAGTGGGGTGTGGTGGTGCACACCTGTAGTTCTAGCTACTCAGGGGGCTGAGGCAGGAAAATCACTTGAACTCGGGAGGTGGAGGTTGCAGTGAGCAGAGATCAAACCACTGCACTCCAGCCTGGGTGACAGAGCAAGACTGCCTCTCAAAAAAAAAAAAGAAAAGACAAGCTCCTTCATGCAAGACCCTTTCTAGAGAAAAGACAAAGGTCTATTCCAGCTAACCAAGAAAGGAATCAAAACCAGAAAGTAAAAAAAAAAAAAAATAGTGAAGCCACAGAGGAGAAGGACTCACGGTGAGCACGAAAAATGAGGATGTACACTGAGTTAGTGAAAGGGGTGCAGAAGGAGAAGCTGCTCATTGTAAAATAAAATGTGTAAAATAAGAACGGGCTCTTGTCCCACCTATGCTGACAGAATGAAGAGGAGGGTGTGTAGGGAAAGGGTGGGTGGAGCAGAAACACACAAACGATGTGCGGCACTGAACAGAATTCATTGTTACTGCGTGGAAATAACTGTGAAACTAAAATTCATCATAAACACTTAGCAATAAATATGTTTTGCCTTACCCAAATTAAGGCACACTGATAACACCCACGGAGTCTTCCTGAAAGAGTGCCTAACAGATGTGCTCACTTCAGGAGGGAGAAGGGGGCTCAACAGGAACAAATGGGTTACAAAAGCAGCCACAGCGCGGGGACTGGGAAAACGTGGTGGGGAATTGGGGATTCAAACTGGTGTTGACAGAGGAGGAGGCTGAGGACCACTCTGTGTTTAAAAGCACTCTGGGGCTGGGCAGGGTGGCTCACACCTGTGATCCCAGCACTTTGGGAGGCTGAGTCGGGTGGATCACCTGAGGTCAGGAGTTTGAGACCAGCCTGGCAAACATGGTGAAACCCCGTCTCTACTAAAAATACAAAGATTAGGCCGGGCGCGGTGGCTCAAGCCTGTAATCCCAGCACTTTGGGAGGCCGAGGCGGGTGGATCACGAGGTCAAGAGATCGAAACAAACCTAAACAACGTGGTGAAACCCAGTCACTAATAAAAAATACAAAGATTAGCTGGGCGTGGAGGCAGGTGCCTGTAATCCCAGCTATTTGGGAGGCTGAGGCAGAAGAATCGCTTGAACCCAGGAGGTGGAGGTTGCAGTGAGCTGAGATCACACCACTGCACTCCAGCCTGGGCAACAAGTGTGAGACTCCATCTCAAAAAAAAAAAAAGTAGAAAACATAATTTTCATAGATGCAGAAATGTTTCATACAATTCAACACCTATTCATGATAACGTAATGTTTAGCAAGCTAGGAAAAGAAAGACACCTCTCTGTAGATCAGGGCCATCTTGTGCAAACATCCAATAAACAAATACTGGACAGTAAACTTTTGGAACCATTACCATTAGTATCAGGACTCAGAGAGGAATTCCCTCATTCAGCATTGCCCTGGAGAGCTGAGCCAATTCCACAAAATCCACCCCTCTGCCCAACATACAGGTTTACAAGATGTCATTAGCTGCAGAATACGTGATCATCTATTTAAAAAAACTTGAGACTAGATAGGAAATCTATTAGAAATACTAAAGAGGGTTTTTTGTTTTGTTTTTAATTTTTTTTGAGGCAGAATCTCACTCCATTGCCCAGGCTGGAGTGCAGTGGCACAATCTCAGCTCACTGCAACCTCTGCCTCCCAGGTTCAAGTGATTCTCTTGCCTCAGCCTCCCAAGTAGCTGGGATTACAGGCAACTGCCACCATGCCTGGCTAATTTTTTTTTTTTTTCCGTATTCTTAGTAGAGACAGGGTTTCACCATGTTGCCCAGGTTGGTCTCGAACTGCTGACCTCAGGTGATCCGCCTGCCTCAGCCTCCCAAAGTGCTGGGATTACAGGTGTGAGCCACTGCACCTGGCCATGCTTTGTATTTATTGTTGTTTGTTAATATGAACCGCTTTGTAAATTTGCGCAGGGCCAGGCTGATCTAATCTCCTGTCTTAAGCTTAGAGGTCCTTGAGGCGAAGAAACATTTAATTAAAGTTTAGCCATCTCTTTATTTTTCTGTGAAATTCAAGTAAAAATACATAAAATACTTTAAATGACATAAGGTAATTTCTATAAAATAATTTTTATATTTGTTCTGCAAACATCTGTATATTTGCATACACAAAAGTCTAGAACAGGCTGGGCGGGGTGGCTCAAGCCCATAATCCCAGCACTTTGGGAGGCTGAGGCAGGGGGAATGCTTAAGCCCGGGAGTTTGAGAACAGGCTGGGTTTGCTTGACCAACCAGGCATAGGGAGACCTCATCTCTCTTCTTATAAAGAGCAAAAACTGTAAGAAAAACCTCCAAATCTCTAGGGCAATGTTTGCCGAGGTGAATGCTGTCTATGTGTACATGGAGACTTTCTTCCTTATACCGTCTGCGTCACTCAGCGTCCTTTCATAAATGCATACGCTGTTTACAAAGACAGCAAGGTGTTTGTGCAAAGCCCCGGAGGGATCACTTTACAGAGGGAAAAGGTTGGCTGGACGACAGGGGGATTTCCACCTGCTGCTGGTGGGACGTCAGCTGGGCCAGGGTTTGGAACACAGCAAGGTATTGTGAGTTAAATGGAGGCAGGGACTCTATCTGCAGCTGACCCACTTCTGGGCAGGAGCCAGGGTGGCCTTGCCTGGGTGTGTCCAGGACCCCACACCCATCGGTGAGCGATGGCAGCTCGCGCTGCTTGGAAGGGGAACCCCGGCTGCTGGGGACAGTGCAGGGCAGACTTGCCTCCCACCGTGGACAAAGTGACCCTGGGGGCCTGGTTGGACCTGGGTCTACTGAGAGGGGCACGGGGGAGTACAGGCCCTGAGCGTCCCCGGGCTGGGATGTACTCACGGTTCCTGTGGCTCCTGCAGGCGAAGCCCTGGAGACAGAACAGTGAGAGGGTGAGTGGCTGCGGGCACCCCTCCCCAGCCTGTCCTGCTCCTGCCCTGGCCCTCACTCCTGGGGTCCTGGGCTGCCCTCAGCCCTGGCCCCTCCTCAGTGTCAGGGGTCTGGCCCAAGGTGGCCACGCGACGGTCACTCAGTAAACGATGTGGTCTGAACCCCTGCGGACCCTCAGCCCTGGCTCCCCCACCCACTTGTGCATTTGTTAAGTGGACACTGGCGGAGCACCCACCATGTGGCAGGCTTGCTTAGGTGCTGGGATTCACGAACAGAGGAAAACAGTGAACCCTCCCTGCCTCTAGAGGAGCTCATATTCCAAGAAGGGGGAGACAGAACCATCCGAAACCCGGGAAATCAGCAGCTTACACTTTATGTAACTAATGAGCGAGGTGGGAAAATAACAGAGGGCTCCGGAGAGTCAGGGGTGCAGACTAGAAATCTAAGAGGTGCCTGGGGGGCTCGGAGAGGTCCATTTCTGAGAAGGAACTTCTATTAGAAGGAACTGGAGAACTGGAAGGAACTGAGGCTGAGCTGTTGGGGGGGGACCATGCAGCTGGGTGAACAGGCCCTGACGGTCCTGGGGAAAGCTGCAGTCCTGATGTATTATGACCTTCAGCCCAACCTGACCAAGGGCGCCCAAAGAGGGGCATGAGGAGGACTTATGGCTCCCACGGGTTAAAGGGTCTGCGGGACAGGCTGCTCCCCAGTGGCCTGTGAGGCAGGAGGCGCCCGGCACCCCTGCAACAATGTCATGGGAGCTGAGGTTGGAGAGCACAGGGTGGCACCGGTGCCCTCAGAGCAGGGTGGGACCCCGGAGTCCAGGCCCCAGCACCCTCAGAGCAGGGCAGGACCCAGGAGTCCAGGCCCCCAGCACCCTCAGAGCAGGGAGGGACCCTGGAGTCCAGGCCCCCAGCACCCTCAGAGCAGGGAGGGACCCCGGAGTCCAGGCCCCAGCACCCTCAGAGCAGGGCAGGACCCAGGAGTCCAGGCCCCCAGCACACTCAGAGCAGGGTGGGACCCTGGAGTCCAGGCCCCCAGCACCCTCAGAGCAGGGCAGGACCCCAGAGTGCAGGCCACTGTGCTGGGGTGCTGGACTGTGCAGCCCCTGGTCAACACAGCGCTCCATTCTTGAAAAGAGCTGACCCTCTATGGACTGGACGAGCCCAGACTGTTGGGGTGGGGGTGGGAGTGGGGGGAGCTCAAGATGGAGAGCTGGACTTCTGATCCTGGCCCAGGTGGGAACATGGAAGAGCAAACTTCGGGCCCACTTCTGTTCCTTGAATTGTGAAGCCGTTATGGCCAGTGGCTACATCTCCCACCTCTTTCTAAATACTTTTTATTTTAAATGCTTTATTTTATTTAGATGATGACCAGAGTTTACCCAGTTTCCCCAAACCTCAACAGCTTCCGGGGCATTTGCAAAACCTGGAGAGTCACACGTGGGTGGCAGTTAGTGACCCTCAGCCTGCATGTGGAATTGTGGATCCTGGTGAAATCTGTTTTCTGTTCCAGGGTCCAGCCCAGGACCCCACCCTAAGATGGCCTCGGAGTCTTCATTCTCCCCACTGTCTCCACCCATTTGCAGACCACCCCGATAACCCCCCAGAGAGAGACCGCCATGCGGGACCCTACCCCGCCTGCAATGGCCGAAAAACTGGTTGCCTGAGGGTGGAAGGAGGCTGGACGGGGCGGTGGGATGGAAGCCCAGCTTCGGCCCCTGGTGAGGAGCAGGGCCTCAAACGGGCTGGCGGAGCTGACTGCAGGCGGCCAAGGGCTCTGCCAGGCAAAAGGGGCTGGGCTCACCTGGGCAGCCTCTGGGGATTGATCCAAGCAGGCTCAGGAGCAGGGTGTGGCAGGGATGGGAGGGGGGCAGGTGGGGGCAGGGTGGGGAGGGGATGGGAG